TACAAATAGATGAAATATTTTCATTTGTAGTCTATATCTACTGGTAAGTCGATGCCCAGGAAGAATATTTATTTAAGGTCACTGCTTTTTAAAAGGGGTTTACCATGGCTAGTGGGGAGGGCTCTGTGTGCTTGTGATCCCAGGACTTAGGAGGCTGAAGCTGGAGGACCTTGAGACCCTGCCTCAAAAGACTGAAAATGAAAAGTTATTATATCCCAGGCCCTGGGCACCTGTTAGGAATAGAAAGAGGGGAAACAATCTCATTTTCTGGAGCCACTATGGAAGGAGCTTATTTCTCACTGCCTGTGAGTGCTGTGGTGTCCAATGGCAGCATAGATTGTGATATAGCACCGAAGATGCCATTTACAGCCCACGCATGTTTGCTCATATGGTCAGTAAGACGATCTGCTGTTCTGCGGATAGCTGAGTGGATGCCCTGATCGACAGCACTCCAAGTGTCCCATTTATCACGGCGGCGTGTAACTGTCTTCATGTTCGTCTGAATGCAGACAACACGGAGCACTCCCTGAGGAGGCTGGGATTAAAGGCGTGCACCACCATGTCTGGCTTTCAATGTTACTTTCTGAGGCAGGATCTCTCACTGAGACTGGGGTGTGCTGCGGTTTCACACATGGACCTGTTTGCATATGGCTTCTGGGTACCCAAACTGGGTCCTTATGCTTGCTGTAGACACTTTTCTACCATCTCTCCAGCCTGTTACCATGTTTTAAATTCCAGACATTATCAGGACCTGAGACGTAGCCTTAAACGGTGCTTTCCCTGGCCCCACTGGCAATCTTGGACAAAGCCTCGCTCACTTTGTGTAGTTTACATTAGAACATAGGTTTGTCTTTCTAAAGATGTTTGCCAGATAGCACACAGGCATCTTCATACCTTATATATGGTGTGTGCAAGGCATTAAATCACATTCTTTTCACAGCCCCACTACTTTATGATTCTAAAAAGAGAAGCGCAGGAGACTGGAGGACTTAGCGCCCAATTTCTGTTGAGAACTGACAAAGATGAAGGAGCAAGCATTTATTTTCTTTCTTTTTCTCGGTTCATTTTTCTTCCTTCTTTTCTTTTCTCTTTTCTTTTCTTTTCCTTTCCTCTTTCTTTCTTTCTTTCTTTCTTTCTTTTTTGAGACAGAGTTTCTCTGGGAAGCCCTGCCTATCTTTGAACTGCTCTGCCCCCAAGTGCTGGAATTAAATGCATGCACCATCACCACCCAGTTTATTTTTTCTAGATAACTGGACTACTGAGGAATCAAAATGCACAAAAGAACTTTGTCAATAAGAACTGGTAAATTAGACCATGAGGGCTGGAGCTACACGCAGTGATGGATAATTGTCTACTGTGATGTTGAATTAGCAGCGGCTGGGCTGTGTCCCCGGCACCCGGCCACCAGCATGGCTAGCTTATGCCCAGAAATAATTACACGGAAACTGTATTCTTTCAAACACTGCCTGGCCCGGCTAGTTCCAGTTTCTTATTGGTTAGCTCTTTCATATTGTTCTAACCCATTTCTAATATTCTGTGTAGCCCACGAGCTGGCTTACCAGGGAGGATCTTAACCTGTGTCTGTCTGGAGCGGGAGAATCATGGCGACTCCTTGACTCAGCTTCTTTTTCCCAGAATTCTGTTCTGTGTACTCCACCCACCTAAGAGTTGGCCTATCAAGGGGCCTAGGCAGTTTCTTTATTAGTAAGAAATCACTCCCACATTTCATCTTTAACCTCATACACCTGTGCACACACACACACACACACACACACACACACACCAAACCTATACAAAGAATTCTTCAGGATTTTGAATTAATTTATTCATTTGTGTGTGTGTGTGTGTGTGTGTGTGTGTGTGAGAGAGAGAGAGAGAGAGAGAGAGAGAGAGAGAGAGAGTCAGGTGTGCACGCGCCACAACGTGTGGAGGTTAGAGAGCAACTTTCAGGAATTGTTCTCTCCTTTTACTGTGTGGGCTCCTGGAATCGAACTCTGATCGTCTGACTTGACTGTAAGCATCTTTCCCACTGAGTCATTTGCCAGGTCCGGGCAAAGAATTTAGACACTATGTATCATGTTTGGTAAAATTATAAAAAGAAAGGAAATAAGTTGTCTGTCTTATAATAGGAACAAAATCCTGAGTCTTACAAATGTGATAGGTTTTTATCTACAGTCACCAATTCATGAGAACTACAGGATTCATTAAACCAACAGAGTACTGAAATAAAATTATGTGGTATTTATGAGATTGGAAATTTGAATGTTGACTGATATATTTTTTAAAACACTGTTATTAGATAAAATAATACCATATTGTGTTTCATACTAAGTATACCAAAATATACTACATTTTAGAAATATGCTAAATATTTGCAGAATTAATGATTCCTGCAATTTGCTTCAGAATATGTAGAGTGAGTGAACAGTAACTATGGGATGGGATAATTGCTGAGGCTGAGCATCAATTATGTGGAGTCTATTATATCCTTTTGTCAAGCTTTGCATTAAGTGTATTTGACATTTCCCATGCAACTTCTTTTTTCTTTTAAATTATTAAAGCTTCCTAAATATTCTGGTGCTTGTCTAGGGGACATTCTTTTCCTTCTCCCACACCTCCATCATATTCCTAGAGGCTTACATAAACTTCAAGTAGTCCAGGAACATTAACTTACACATCTATTAGCACCCTTTGTACAGTAATGTAGAAGATTATTTCCTGAATGACCGTTAACTCCCCACAGACCGCATGACTTTGAATACGTAAAACAAATATCCTAAAAGAGAGAAAAAGAGTTCTAAGAGTAGGAAGAAAAAAAAATCTGCTTTTTGTTAAAACTTCCTAGGAAGTGTGTGTGCGTGTGTGTGCGTGTGTGTGTGTGTGTGTGTGTGTGTGTGATAGAAAACTTCTACAAGAGACATGGAGACAATGACTAGGTTCTTAGCCATTAGGTTACACTCACACAGGATACCCTTGTTGAAGGTGAATATCAATATTTTGAGGAAAGGGGATTGTTTTCCAATATTCAGCAAGCCAATGCTCAGACTGCTTCTCTGGAAACAGGATGAATTTTTTGCCTAAACCTGGGAACAGTCTAAACTTGCATGCTGTAAGCTAGGTAAGACTGAGCTGGAGCTTCCGGCTTCTGATGTGAGATCCCAGGAAGAACAAGAAACTGCACGTCTGGGGCCAGGGGTGGGGCTAGGGCACCTGGAATGCAGTGAAAGGAGAAAAAGTAGGGCTCTTTATTGGGTAGAGCCAGGTTATACTGTGACCAGAGCCATAAAACCTGTAAGGACACTTTGCAAACAGCCCTTTGTTTATCTAGGTGACTATACCTTTTATCTTCCAACTGGAGAGAAGACAGATGTTTTTTAATGGGTCCCTTGGCCAGGCCAGCTGCCGGCCACCACCCTTCTGTTTGCATGGCTTTTGAGACTCTCTTGCCTGCCCTTTCTTCCTCACACTGCCCCTCCATTTAATTATCATCAGCCGGTGACCCTGGAACAAAGGGTGTGGGGCTAAGTCAGGCCTGGCTACTCTTCCGCAGAAACACAAAACACACTTGGGTGTCTCCCGTTGTGCCTTGAGTCTGGGGTTGGTGCTGGTATGAGTTTTTGGTGTTCATTGACCTTCATCTTGAAGGAAAATATGTCCTGTGTGGTCTCAAACAGCCTCACCCATGGTTGTGTATCCCTGAAACACAGACCTCAGCAGTTTTCTCACTTTTCCATTTTTATTTAGGTTTATTTTTTTGTTTTGTTTTGTTTTTGTTTTTGAGAGTAAGGTCTTGCTATGAGTCACATCAAATTCACAGAGATCTGCCAGCCTCTACCCCTCAAGGGCTGGGATTAAAGGTGTGTGCCACCATGCCAAGCTAATTTTTCTTTTTTATATCAAGGTCTTGACCTGTCAATTCTCTTGCCTCAGCCTCCTTGGGGCTGGGATTGCAGGCATGAGTCACCATACCCAGCTTGTTTATTTGGTGTGTTGTTTTATTTTATTCAGTATTGAGGATCAAACCGTAGGATTTGTGAAGTACCTTGGTTAGGCACCCTACCACTGAGCTACACCCCTAGCCCGGTTAGGCTATTACTCACACTCGCAATAAAACACATCAACTTTAAAAGTACACTTTGACTCGTTTGGGTGATAATGCAGGCAAGATGCTAGTTTATCTGTGTTTCGCTTTTGTTAAAGAATGAATGTCGGGAAAGATGTTTTTTTTCAGAGGCTCTCCTCAACCCTCCCAAAAGAGCAGTGGCGTGGGAAGGGAACCTCAACCTGTGGGTTGAAGAGCCTAGTACATAATAATAGCCCAACTCCAGACTCCCTTCCCCCTCTCTCTCCGCCCCTTCTCTCTCTCTTTCTTTTTCGAAGCAGGGTTTCTGTGTGTAACAGACTGGCTCTCCTTGGAACTCGCTCTGTAGAACAGGCTGGCCTCGAACTCAGAGGGATCCGCCTATTTCTGCTGGGATTAAAGGCGTGTGCCGGCAACCACCACCTTCGGCTCTCTTCTTACTAAGAATCAGTTTCCAAATCTGTCTCATCAGATTGACTCACAAGGCCCGTTTGGACAGTGTGCGGTTCAAGTGGGATGAGCAGGCACCCTTAAATGTCCGTCGTATTATTTGTATTCAACCGTTTCTGCTCGTGTACATCGACGCAGGCTGACTCCCACATCCCAGCGTCCTGGATTCTGTTCTTAGCTCTTGGGGATGAGGAGGAGAAGCCACCAGCCTCGCTCCCGCAAAATAAAAACAAAAACAAACCAAAGAAAAAATAACCAGGGTAAGGTAAAAGATATCCACCCACGAAGCCAGCCAGCCTGGGCCGCCCTAGCTGCGGTGCTCAGAGTACGCATGCGCAGACACGCCCCCGTGCCCTGGAGGAGCTCCGGTAGGGGGCAGCATCGCGCCCCGAAGGTTTTAACGCCTGTCGTACTCCGCCGGACGTAAAACAACTCTGCTTTACGGCACCCGCCTCCGCCGTTTACGGCGCCCACGTGTGACAACTTCCCGGTGGGAACTCCGGTGTGCTGGCTGAGGCGAGCTTGACGTTCCCGCTATGGGCAAACGCCGGAACCGCGGGCGCAGTCAGCTGCTCAGCTCGATGACCAAGAAGCAGAAGAAGCACCTCCGCGACTTTGGCGAGGAGCACCCCTTCTATGACAGGTCGGGCCGCTGAGAGGGCTGGTTCCGGCCGGTTCCGGGAGGTGCGGGGTCGCTGCGGGCCCGGGCGTGCAGCCGCGGGGTGCATTCTGCAGCTAGACCTGCTGAGACCCCTGGGCCCGCTGTCCCGGCACGAGGTCTCAGGTTAGCCTAGCCAGGTCCCCAAACACAAGCCGAACAGGCGAGAGGTGAAGCCCGGTGTGTAAGGGGGGGGGGAAAGCTGGTGTCTAACTTGTTCTTTGTCACGTGATGCCGTTGACACCCCCCCCCCCAGTTGCTTGTTGCCCGTTTGTCATCTCTCCCCTTGAAAATGCAGAATCTTTTACACTATGACTGCCTATTATTGTGTATTCTGCGTTGTTCATTTAAAGCAGAATCCTTAGGTCTGTCGTAATCTTTACAGATTAGTAGCTAAAGTTTAACAGTATCCATTTCTCATTTTAGGGTCTCCAAAAAAGAAGTAAAGCCCCAGATTTGTCAGCTGGTAATGCTTTGTTTTTCTTTATAATACTTGGAATTGGGTTGTTACCTTTAAGATCGTGTGTATGAGGAAAGCTTGGGTACTTCTCTGTGTTTTTCTGTTTTGACTGTCAGCTGTGGTTTTAGACATCTTAATTAGTTTTAAATGATGGAGAAAGATGGCTGTAAAAATTCCCGTGTGACCGTAGAAGCCAGAGTTGGGAACTACCCCATGACACTTCTGAGCCTCTGTTGGAGAGGTTCTTCGGAGTGCTGGCTGTTGGCGTGTCCAGTACTCACATCTAGTGTAAAACAGGCAGTGCCCCTCCCTTGTAATGTTATTCCCGCACCTTGAACCGTGAAGCCAAATGTCTGAGATGTAAGTTAAAGCCCATAACCTAAAATTTTGTTTGAAATGTCACTTTTTATTCCATGTGCAGCAAATGTGAACAGCTTGGTTAGCTGTTATATGTAAATTTCATGCTGGGCTTGGTTAAAGAGAAGAGATTGTCTAATGTTTGCAGAAAAGCTCATTGGACTTTTATTTCCTTTTTTATTAGTGCGTATTCATTACACAAAACAGGCTTTCATTTGGGCATTTCCAGGCATAATTAAATGATAATCTCCATGCCACCAATCCTTGCCCTGCTCTGGCCCTCAGTCTCTACCTCTACTAGGCCCCTTTCTCTTTGTAAATACTTTTTCCCTTTTAATTTTATGACTTTTGACTTCTTAAAATCTAGTTTCCTCATGCAAGAGAAAACATTTACCTTTAGTCTGTCTCATTTTTACTTAATTATCCTCCATTCTGTCCATTTCCTTGCGCGTGATTTAATTTCCTTCTTGGAGGGTAAGGAAATCCCATTAATATGTATGTCTCACATTTTATTTTAATTTTGTTTTTTTAGTGCGACAATAAAAACAATATAAAATTCCCATTTTCCTTTAGTCAGAGAGTTCAGACACTTCACATTCTGAAAGTGAATCGGAGAGTGAACAAGAGCACATTTCAGGGTACCACAGACTGCTTGCTACATTAAAGAATGTCTCTGAAGAGGAAGAGGACGAGGAGGAGGAAGAAGACGACAGTGCTGTCAGTGATGGAGATATCAATGTTGAAGATGGTGATGAAGATGTCCAGGTGGAAGAAGAAATAGCCGAGTCAACTGAGACACAGGAGCGTGAGTATTTGGGATTGGCTTGTCCTCTTTGCCAGGACAGAGTGTCCTGTGCTGTGTGGGCTGAGTGATAACATTTGGCTCCATAGCAGAGATTCAGCCTTGTTGAATTTGGTTATATTTTGAAAATCCGATGGGAACACTGACCCTCTCATCAGGAAAATACTATTGGCTTATTCTTTCAGGGATTTTTTTTTTCTGACCTAATGTAAGGCTGCCTGGCTTTCCCAAGGGACATAATTTTGTCACAGATGGATGTTTGCTGCAGAAGTTGTTCCTCTTCAATAAGAGACCAAGTGTAGTGGAAGGTAGACATAAAAATACTCAGTAATTTTTAAGTTGTAGATTTGTGTTTATGTAAAGGAAACTTGTCTGCTCTCATTGGGTCTATAGGGAGACTCTGAGAGGAGCTGGAATTGAAAGCCCAGAGGTCCTCCTTCTCAGGGCTCAGACTGCTACTTTAGGTCTTTCTTCTGTGCTGGGGAGTCAAACCCAGCACCTTGCGCATACCAGGCTGAGCTCGTCCCTAACCCTTGCGACTTTTGAGTCAAGGTCTTGCTGTGTAGCCCAGGCTAACCTTGAACTCATGATTCTACTGCTCTGGGAACATAGGTGTGTGACACCATGTCTGGCTTAAGTGGCTTTTTTAAATCAACCTCATTAGAGTATATTTTATATGCAAATGAATGATTCCAGTGTGGGCTGATGAGGCAGTTCATTGGGTGATAGCTCCACTGTGAAAGCTGACCAATAGAGTTAGATTCTTAGAACTTACATAAAGGCAGAAAGAGAACCGGGTCTGCGTGCAGCACACACACAATTATAATAATAGTAATGGTATCTATTTTTTAAATACAATGATAGCTTTTACAAGTAGTGTGCCTCCATCACCTCCAGAAAGCTCTGTCTTAGTTCTTTCTCCATCCTTTACCTGATTTCCGTCACTATAGGTTAGCTGTGCCCATTATAGAAATTAGTGCAAACATGGTCAAACACTCAGCTTTCCTACACAGACTCTCACTCTGCAAATCTGGCCTTGCATGTACTGTGTGGCCCACACCAGTCTCTAATCATGACAATCCTCCTGCTTCATCCCCTTCTACTTCCTACCCCTCAATGCTGGGATTGCAAGTGTGGTGTTCTATGCCTGGCTTGTGTCCATTTTTTACCCTATGTGTTATTGTTTTTAATACTTTGCTTTTTATTGCTGGATATCTGTGGGTGACTTCTGTGTCTTCCTATCTCCTTCCTGTTTTCCTTACAGACAGTATCATTGTATCCTTGACGGGAGTCTGGAACTTGATGTACAGACCAGGCTGGACTTAGACTCACCAGAAATCCACCTGCCTCCTGATTTAAGGTGTGCACCACCATGCGTACTAACTAGCCTCCTTTTCCTTTCTGTCCCCCGCCCCCATGCTTGCCAAACATGTGTGAAGTGCTGGGCTTCATACATGCTTGGCAAGCAGTTTCTCACTAGGTTACATTCCTGGCGTCTTCTTTCTTCATTCATTCATCCACTTTTGTGGTCCTGGCTACTGAACAGCCTGGGGTCTCGAGTATTTCTGAGCAGATACTTCACCCTGAGCTTCATCTCCAGTGCCTTTAACCTGTCGTGTAGTGTTTTACCTTGTTAGGGTAAAAATATCCTTTGCCTTGGCTGGGCATAGTAGCACATGCTTTTAATCCCAGCACTTGGGAGACAGAGGCAGGAGGATCTCTGTGAGTTCAAGGCCAGCCTGGCCTACTTGCTAAGTTCCAGGACAGCCAGGGTGATGTAATGTGTAACACCCGGTTTTGGTTTTACACCCTCGGTGCCACTGTACGGAATGCGAGTTGAGCAAGGCCTGGAGGTTAAACACAAGACACAAAGAGACCAGGGTCGATAGGAGATCAAGCGAATGCCGTTTATTCAGACTTGGGGAAGCCCTTTTCTACCTAACTGCAGCACTAGGACCCCAGCCCAGGCAGGTGGGAAATTACCATATCAACAATTGAATGAATGCCCTGCAGCTAATCACCAGGCGGGGCAGAACACTAGTCAACTGCTAGAAACTGTATGCGCCCTAGGAATAAGGGCTGAATGCTTAGTCATGTTGACCAGAAATTGTCCTCGAGATGCGCCCCAGGAATAAGGGCAGACCAGGGCCCTACAATAATGAGACTCTGACTTGAAAAATAAAAACATACATTATCTTAATTTTTGAGTGTTTGTAGGTCCTTAGTTGTGCTTTCCTTTACATTTAATTTTTTAGAGGAAAATAGACTTTGTTGTTGTTTTAGTCATAAGTGTGACTGTGGGAGGGGAGGGTGTAGCACAGAAGGTGAATGCTCGCCTTGGGAAAACAAAGCTCTGCGTTTGCCCCACACCGTAAAGCCAGGGTGATGATACAGCCTCTCAGTCTGGTACTTGGTGAAGGAGAGGCTCGAGGATCTGGTCTGAACACCTTTAATAGTACATCTTTGTTTTTGCAGGTGGGATTGCACATATATGTGGGAGGGTACATGCATGGATGCATGTGATGGACTCCTAAATTTCTGAAATTTGATTCTTTAATAAGATACTGTAGATTTTTGTTTAATTTTTCCTTTCTTTGTATTGTATATTTTGCTGCACAGGGGGTTGAGCCTAGCTAGTGTCTCACGCCTGTGCTCTACTGCTGAGTTCTGTCCTCAGCCTGGACCTTTACTCTGTAACCTAACTCTGGATTCACATTAGTCTCTTGGATATGTAACATTCAGTATTGAATACTCCTTTGATAGACATTTCATTTGTTCTGTGATTTCTTATCGTAATTCCGACTGCTGTGACATCTTCCATGTGTATCTTAGTACACTATTTTAGAATAAGTTCTAGAACTGGGTATATTAGAATTCTTCAGAGAAACTCCTAATTATGATAGAAATCTATTTTAAGGAGTTGACTCATTTGGCAAGTCTTTCAGTCTAAAGGCAATCAAGCTGGATCCCCAAGAGAAGCCACTGTTAGAGCTGGTGTTCAGTGTCTGTCAGCTGGAAGTCTTCCTCTGAGAGCAGACCGGCCTCTGTTTACTCAGACATCACTCTATGGACGGCCGGGATACAGCCCAGGTGGTAGCGTCTGCCTGGCATGTCCAGAGCCTTGGTTTCCATCTCTGGTGCTGCATCTACTGGGCAAAGATGGAGCATGGCTATAATCCTAACACCCAGGAGAGAGAAACAGGAGGTTCCGAAGTTTAAGGTCATCCTGAGCTAGTAGAGGGCTAACAAGAAGGCTAAACTACAAAAGGCCTGTGTCAAAAAATAGCCATTTGCCTTCCTGATGGAAGTCCACCAATTGGAACATACATTTAATAATTCAAACACACCTCCAGGCTTGAAGCCCAGCTTAGTTACAGAATACTTGTATCCCCTAGGTCTGTGATCAAGCTTAATTCTGAAAGGTCACTTCCACTCACTGAATTACCTGATTGTTGTTTAAAAATAGTGCCTAGTTAGGTGTGCACGTCTTTAATTTTTAATTCCAACAGTTGGGAATCAGGGCGGTGGATCTTTGTGAATTGGAGGCCAACCCTGTCTACAAAGTGAGTTCCAGGATGGCCAGGACTACATGAGAAACCCTGCCCCAAAAAACCAAAAATAAATAAATAACAATGAGCATGAATGTTTTAATTTGGTTTTTGTCAACATTTAAGTATGTGTAAGTTATTTATTTATTTTTGAAACAGGATTTCACTCTATAGGTCTTGCTGTTTGGAAATTGCTGTTGACTAGGCTGGTCTCGAACCCACAGAGCTCTACCTCACTCTGAAAATTTTACAAAATGATTTTCAACATTCTGGTATGTCTCTAGCTGATGACCCCAAAGAGAAAGATGGGGAAGAGCCACCTGATACGTCACAGAAATCCCCAGAGGAGTTCACTGATGCGAAACATGAGTCACTGTTCAGCCTGGAAACCAATTTTTTGGAAGAGGACAGTGGAGGCAGCTCTTCCCAGAGAACATCCCAAGGTGAGCGTGGCTCTGTGTTGTGGGGCTGTGCACTGATTCATGTTTAGTCTCCTGACTGAGGGAGTTCACAGAGCCAGCTCGGTAGTCGTCCTGTGGGAGCTGGAGCAGATACTTCTCGGGTAGTGGAGAGATAAGGACTGGTCTGAGAAGAAGGGGCTGAAGGGTGGAAGTGGGGGAGGCCAGTGCCCAGGCTGCAGGATCTGGAAGACTTTGCCGTCCAGTCTAGTAGGCAGAAGGGTAAAGTGCTCCCCTCTTCCTCTCCTCACCCACTCCACTGGAGCAGTACTTCTTCAGATTTGTGTGGCCCAGCGAGACCAGTCCGAGTGTTCTTATTACTAGGGCAGCTCCCCAACACCACCACCCCAGTCCCCTCCATGGTCACCGTGCCTCTGACATGGGTGTCTGCACTATCAGGTCTGCTCTTGCTGGGCAGGCCAAGCTGGTGTCCTGTGTCTGCCTTTCCTAGTTTGCTGCCATTGGGCTTCATTGTGGATGAAACTGAGTCCTTGTTTGGTTTAGCTGGATCTGCTGGCTTTTACGCAGGGGGTGGAGTAGAGGTAGAATTTGTGGGATCTTAGCATAAACCACATTCTGAGTCATGGCAGTGTTGGAGCCTGGACAGAAGCAGGAAGCCTCTGTCCTGAAGTCTCTGCATATTTGCTGTGGAGATGAACTGGCCTGGGCTTCCCTCTTTATGTTGGTTGCTGTTATCCTGGGTATTTACTGCAGGTGCCTGCCATTTGGAGTTTTTACGTCTTCACTTTGTTGCTTCTCAACGAGAGGCACAGAGAGACGGCTGAGGGTCACCCGAGTGCAGTGGGCACAGAGCTGAGGGTCACCCGAGTGTAGTGGGCATAGAGGGAGGGCTGGTTGGCTAGCACATCTTCTGCATGCAAGAGACAACATTTGGATCGTTTGGTAGTTCAGGTAAATACTGAGAATTCGTGTGTCTTGCTGTGTGGAATACATGGAGCCTGCTCTCAGGAATCTTGCCATGTACCAGACAAGACAGGAGAATGTGCTGGCTTGTTTGAATTGGTGAGGCATGGTAGGGGCTGAGTGTGACTGTCCTGTGCCTGGCACAGTAGACCCCTGTGAGGCACTTTCCTGTGAAGGATAACACACAGTTGAGAGACAGGAGGATTTTGGTCCAAAGGAAAGGCTCAGAAGCAGAATTTAGGGTTGTATAGTTCAGAAATCCCTGAAGCGGTGGGTTCAAGTGCAGCTGTCAAGACCTGAAGTTCGGGCTGAGGTATCTTCCGAGGCTTTGGGCTGGGATATGGTCAATGTGCACTTTTGGAGGGTCAGCTTGCCAGGCACTCTTTATAAGCTTTGAATGGGTATGGGGCTGGAAAGAAGGATGAGTCGATACCAGAAGGTCAGCGTGTCCATCTCAGCAGACAAGAGACAAGCATGTCATTTTCAGAGGTGACTTGAGATGAGCCGTCACTCTCAGGAGACCAGAAAGCCCTGCCGTTTGCTTGTTGAAATAGGAGCGGCGGGGCTGCATCCCCAACACTCCGGCCGCTTGGCTAGCTCATGCCCGAAATAACAACACACAAACTGTATTCATTTAAGAACTGCTTGGCCCATGAACTCTAGTCCTTACAGGCTAATTCTCGCACCTGGACTAGCCCATTTCTAGTAATGTGTGTAAGCACCCCAAGGTGCTCTTACCGGGAAGATTCTAGCCTCTGTCCATCCTGGGTTGGAGGAGCTGCCTGGGAGAGCTAAGCATGGCGTCTCTGCTCCAGAGAGCAGAGCTGTCGGGTCTCTCCGGGTGCAGAGCAGAGTCTGACCTCACTTCCTCTTCCGCCCAGAATTCTATTCTGTTTACTCCTCCCATCTATGTTCTAAGCTATGAGGCCAAGCAGTTGGTTTATTATAATTAACCAATGACCTTCCTCCATCATTTGCTCACTGTGCTTACTACTCTGTTTGAATTAGATCCGTTTCAACAACACGTCAACAAAGAACTGAAAGAAAAGGACATTCAGGCTGCGGCTTCAAGCTCTCCAACTAGCCAGCAGCTGAAAGTAAGTGCTGTTTGGTTTCCCAGGAAAGCCCACAGTGGAACGGTTTACTGATGTATATTATCCATGGTGAGGGTCACTTTGTCCGTCCTCTTGCTGAGTGTGATACCATACATGGTCTGGTTGACTTCCCCTTTTTTGAGGTAGCAGACAGGTGTGCAGGTATAAGAAGTAGTTGAGACTTACTTTTTTTTTTTTGCCTGATTTTCTCCATGGTAGCATGTATCAGAGTACAGAATCACAACCAGAATGTGAACATAGATGCCATTTATTGCTGCTTGGAACTCCTGTATGCAAGGCTAAGCCCACTCTCTACCGTGGCCTTGCATGTATAGACTCAGGTTCTCTGCAGTGTTGTCGTCTTGTAGGATCCTGTTTGGTATGGAACACTCGGACCTGTCTGCCTCTGCCTCCCCGGTACTGGGATTAAAGGTGTGCACTACCACACCTGACTGTTGATCTAACCCCTTCGCCTCCCCGAGCCCATTGTCAGTTCACTGCTGTGCTGGACTTGCCCAGAGCAGCACCTCTGAGGGCAGCACAGTTCCCTGGAGAGTTGCCCAGGTTGCTCGGCTCTCTGTGGCTCATTTTTTATTGCTGAAGTTGCTCTAATCTTAGGTCAGCAATTTTTCTACAGTGAAAATTCCTAAACATATATCTCACAAAGTAGCATCCGTGAAATTCTACTAGGCATGTCTCTAAAAAGAGGAGAGAGAAAGGGCACAGTGTTGGATCAGTTCTAAGACAAGGAGAGCCTGTGGTGTACACCTTGTGACGTGTCACACTGCAAGGTTATTTGACCATTGTTATCTAAAGAAATGTTGTGCGATAGTGTGGGAAACACTAGAGGCAGAGCTCAGGTATGAAGTCAGCCTCCAAACCGCACACCTCTTATGTGACTGTTGTCTGGACCCTCTTGCCTCTGTAAGGCCCAGCATTCCCTACACTGGAGTAGCAGGGCTGGGTGAAGAGCAAATGGGGTGATTCCTGACTCATCAAGTACTGTGACTGTTGGTTGTTCTCATGCCTAACTGAGCTCTTGATATGTCTATTCCTAGTGGCCCACCCTGGGACAGCTTGTCTTTTCATCCAAGTTCCGGAAGATGGAAACATTTAAACCTCCAAAGGACATTGACCTAAAGTCACTTCATCTTCAGAAGCCTCTAGAATCCACCTGGGGAAAAACCAATAGTCAATTCCTATCTGGTCCTCAAAAATCAAATAGTCCCTTTACCCCACTCCAGAAAGAACTGTTCTTAATCATGAATTCATACCGGGACCTGTTCTACCCAGAGAGGACTGCCCTGAAGAATGGAGAAGAGATCCGCCATGTGTACTGCCTGCATGCCATAAACCACGTCCTCAAAGCAAACGCCCAAGTGTTGGCTAACAACAGTAGACGCCGGAGCCAGAAACTTGGGGTGGGTGAAGACGATGACTTCAGGGACCAAGGGCTGACCAGGCCTAAGGTGAGCGGAAGCAGGAGAGCTTTGACTTCAGGAAGGCTGTGAGCTGCTCCTTAGTCGTGAGTGTTGAATGAGCCAGGCAGCACAGGGCAGTGAGAGGGACTTCAGGTGCTCTCGGGAGCACCATGTTGTTGGAGGTCTCTTCCTGGTGACTTTCAGCTCACTGATGCTTGAATGAGTTTTTTACCCAGTTCCTTAATGTGACAGCTCTGGGCAGACCCAGATTCACAGAAGGCCCTCTAAAGAGAACGTGGGGCAAATTATAGAGATGCACAGACACCTTCAAGACAAAGATCCCTGTTTCTGCTGTGAAGTTCCTAATGCTTAACAGAGTGATTCTGTTTACTTGTGCTGGCAAGCCTGACCTCTGGCATTGGAGGCTCTAGTAGGAAAGGATATGGATTTAATTCTGTGTATTTTTCATGATGCTGAGGAGCCAGGCCTTGCTCTTATATTTGTCCCTCCTGTCTCCACGCAGAAGATCATGTTTTCAGACTTCTCTTGAGCTCAACAGGATTCAAGGGTGTAAATACTGGTGACTTTTAAAAGATTTTTTTTTTTTTTTTTTTTTTTTTTTTTTTTTTTTGGCAGCCCCCTTGTTTGATAGCTTGGGGAACAAGTGTGGGCACTTAGTGTCACTGCTGGGACAGTAATCCAGCCTCTTAAGTCTTAGCCTGGCATACAGAACAAATTATTTACTCCTCTGGCTGGCTGGTTACATTTCAAGGTGGCTCCTGCAAATGTGTGGACATGACATTGAGGTTGTCTGTTTCTGTTGTGCACTGTTGGGGAATCAGGGAGATTACCCTGTCTTGCCTAGGATAGGAGCCTCCTGGCTTGACTAGGGTCGCACTGTTTAGTAAGAATGGTGGGCAGTTAGAAATGAGCTCTTTACTAAGCATCTTCTCATTTTCTGTTGCGCAGAAACTTACGCATTTATTTGATTTATTTAATTTTGTGAGTATGGGTGTTATGCCAGCGTGTATGTATGCGCACTACCTGGTGCCTGTGGAAGTCAGAAGAGGGCGTCACATTCGTGGAACTAGAGTTAAGCAGGCTGTGAGTCCCCGTGGAAATGCTGGGAGTCGAACTCTGTTCCTTGCAAGAGCAGCAAATGCTCTGACCCACTGAGTCATCTCCTAGGTACAATCTTTAGGCATTTTTAACAGACTTGGAAGATTGAGTCCTGTTTTTCCTACTCAGAAACATGTCATCAGTGGTTTTAAAAACTGTTCTAGAGAATATACTAGAAAAATAACAGTGTGTTAATTCTTTTCTGTATTTTTTTTTTCTTACTTAGTCTCTTAGTTACTTCTCTGGTGTTGTAACAAAACACAATGACCATGGCAACATATAAAAGAAAGCATTTGATTGGGTTACAGTTTCAGAGGGGTAGAGTCCATGAGGGTGGAGCAACTGAAGGCTCCCATCTTCATCCACAAGGAAGGCTTGGGAGAGAGGCCATGTGTAGAATGGCAGGAGTCCATTGACAGGGAAAAGTCCATCCTCAGTGATAAACTTCCTTCAACACAGCCACACCAGTCCTTCCCAACAGCAAGCATTCAAACATACAAGTCTATGGGAGCCATTCTTGTTGAAACCACCACATGTGTGTTTGTTTGAGTGGATCTTACTTTGCCCTCAAAGACCTTTGTATTTCTTTCCTTGAGTTTCTGCTACTGCTGCAGGCATTGCCTTATCCAAGTTTTGCTTGAGAAATGTTACACATGGATCCATGGTACTAATGTTCACAGGATGTGTTTATGTGGGTGCAGGAGACACTTGGCTTCTGGTACTGAGCTGGGCCTTATGCAGAGATACTCACCTCTGATCTGCCATTGCCCCCACAGGTGCTTATAGTGGTGCCCTTTCGGGAAGCTGCCCTTCGGGTGGTCCATCTCTTCATCAGCCTCCTTGAGGGGGACAGTAAGAAGAAAATCATTGTAAGCAACAAAAAGAGGTTTCAGGGGGAGTATGGCTCTGATCCTGAGGAGAGACCTCCCAACCTGAAGAGGCCTGAGGATTATGAAGCCGTATTCGTGGGCAATATTGATGACCACTTCAGGATTGGTAATGCCCCCTGTCAAGGTGGAGGTCCTTGGGAGAGCTGGGGGGATCCCTGACTCAGTCTTCTAGCAAAACTGGGTGCTCTTGTGATCTCTCTTGCCTTGGACAGGAGTCTCGACTTGGTTGGTGGGTAGAGACTCCAAGACCATATACATATAGAAAGGCCTTGTGCATTGCTGTGGAAATGGTTTGGCTGCAGCTTGTATACACCAGGTGCTCTTAGGCTTCTCAGAGTTAAGAATCACAGAAACTGGGTGGGGTCACCCTGAGGAGGCTGAGGCAGTTTCATTTGGGGGTAAGCCTGGATCTCCATCCTGTCTGTCTGTAGAGAGCCCACCCAACCTTAGACACCCACCCAGCTTTCATGTCTGTTACCTTGATGAACTCTGGGAGCGTGCTCCTTGTTCATGGCCTTGCGCCTCATTCACGGACATTGCTGAGTATCTGCAGCGTGACTGCCACAGGTAGGGAAGCTGGGCGTAGAAGTTCAAGTTTGTCCTTTGAAGAAGTCCAGCCTGGGAAACAGCAGAGGGCGGCAAGCACTTGAGGCTGGCGTGGTTGCTGACACGTGTGTTTGCAGGAGTGGCGGTCCTTCAGAGGAGCATTCGTCTCTATGCCCCCTTCTACTCCTCCGACGTCCTCATTGCCTCCCCCCTGGGCTTGAGGACCATCATTGGTGGAGAAGGAGAGAAGAAGAGAGACTTTGACTTTCTGTCTTCTGTTGAGCTTCTCATCATTGACCAGGCTGACATTTACCTGATGCAGAACTGGGAACATGTCTTGGTAATGATGACGGACAGCACCCTTGCTCCATATGTGTTTGATCCGTGTCTGAGACAGCTTGGTCTGAGCATTTGAGACACTCGTGATCTGCAGCCTAAGCTGACCTCATAGTCACAGTGTGACCCATACTGGCCTCGTCCTTCTGACCCATGGTGCCCCACCCCACTAGGCCTTGTTCTGAAAGTTCCTTTTAAAGGATGCTCCAGTAGCTAGCCTGTGTCCTTACTTTGTGGTCAGCTGACCTTGAGCACGTCGCCATCTGGGCTTTACTTTCCTGCTGTCCCATGGACACACACTCCATGGGTTAGGGAGATGGATCATACATGCTCATGAGTGTCCAGCATACATGCCCAGTAGACACTAATGGTGGTGTTTGCTTCTCCAAGCATTTGATGAACCACATGAACCTGCTACCTTTGGACTCCCATGGGGTGGACTTTTCTCGAGTGCGCATGTGGAGCCTCAACAACTGGTCCAGGTACTACCGCCAGACCCTGCTCTTCGGTGCCCTGCAGGATGCCCAGATCAACTCTCTGTTCAACAGGCACTGTACCAATGCCCAAGGCCAGGTGAGCCCCATGCCCTCAGTTACTCTGTAATGGAGGAGTTGATGGCCTGTGATCAACAAGGACGGCTGCCTAAAGTTCTTCCCTCCTGGTAGGTGGCCGTGAGGAATGTCCCAGTGACTGGCGCCATCAGCCACGTGCTGGTGCAGCTCCCACATGTCTTCCAGAGGATGGAAGCCCAAGATCTTGCTTCAGTGATCGATGCCAGGTAACCCCACCCACAACCACAGGGCCTCAGAGAGAGATCTGACTTTGGATGTTCTCTGACTTTTGGATCTGAACTCTGTTGCTATTAGTAATTACTGATTACCAAGTTAGGTCCCAGAATTGAACTGAGCCGTGACAGAGAAGAAATCAGGCTGGGGAGAAATGAGGACTTGGCCTCAGTCTCAGCTAGAAGCAGGGTTGGAATGGCAGCCCGTGGTCCTGGCCCCTTGATTGAGATATGGCAGTCTCATACCATGCTGCTGTGGACTGTGATATACTCCGAGCCATTCAGAGAAGAGCTGATTGTCTAGTTCTTTCCACGTTTGCCCTCTGTGAGCCTGTTGTGCTTCACATGTGCTACACAGGCTGGGCACCGAATCTGCGTCTACACTTACGTGTTCATCAAGATTTTTCTTACCTAGTCTTACAGGGATCTCTCACTGTTACTGCCCACTGTAGGTCCAGCTCGAGCCTGTTAACCTTGTCCTTGTCCTTTCCTAATCAGGTTTCACTTTTTCGTAAACAAGATTTTGCCTCAGTACCGGGATGCCGTCATGTCCCACACACTCATCTATGTCCCCTCCTACTTTGACTTTGTGCGCCTCCGAAATTACTTCAAGAAGGAAGAGCTGTACTTCACACACATCTGCGAGTATACACAGAAGTCTGGGGTCTCCAGGGCTCGACACTTCTTCCTCCAAGGAGAGAAGCAGTTTCTGCTCCTCACAGAACGCTTCCATTTCTACAAGAGGTAACAGGACAGGCTCTCCCTCTAGGGGGCCTGGGCATGCTCTGTGGGCTGGGCACATATCCTTTGCCTATGGGGGTTGGTGATGGCTCATCTCTGTCTCTGCGTTGTGGCTTGGTGGGTAAGGAGGGTCATCGGTTTGTTGGTTGGTTACTTCCAGAAGTGGGCATTGGTGGGAAGGGTAGAAACCAAAGCTTGAGCTGTGGACTGGAATGCAACTGTGTGTCCAGCACCTCACAGAAGCCAGTCCAGAGCTGAAGATCGAGACAGGATGGGCACAGGAGCTGGGGAGATGGAGACTGAGCACAGGTTCATACCCGGGGTGACTGTCTCACCGTGGAAAACCAGGGCTCTGGTCTCCTTGATGGTGGCAGGGGCAAAAACTGAAGAGGCTCAGAGTTGAGTATTTTTAGTGTCTCAGTGTGTGTTTAGATTTATTACCAGTTACTAACAAAACAGATTGGCTGGCCTTTTTGCTATTGCTTTTTGAATCCTTATTTGCTTGTTAGTTAGTAATAGCTTTCTGGACCTGCTAAATGGCTGTGACCTGAGCTGAGTTCTTAGGACCCACGTGGTAGGAGAGAACTGACTCCCGGTTTTGCAGAAAGCTGCAGGTTTATGTGCCCCCAACCCCTACCAGGCTTCCTGCTGCCAGATGCAAACCTTCCTAATGCTTTACCACAGAGATGGAAATTCTATCCAGAGCTTTTGTTTTGGGTTCTTATGGTGGAATTTTGAATTGCGTTTCATTTTATTTTGTTGACACAAGGTTTTATTTAGGAAAATTTCAAATTATCTGGTAGCCCAGGCTGACCTTGAACTCCTGATCCTCCTGCTTCTACCTCCCCCTCCCAAGTGCTGAGATTACATACACATACCTCCACACCTAGCTGATATTTCTGTTTTATTAACTTGCCGTACCATATACCAACAAGGATCTGCCAGGGATGTAAACCAGAATTCTACCCTCCAAGCTTTGAGGGACAGTCAGCCATGTACCATGACTCTCTGGAAGTTTTCATTTATGCTGATATTGGAATGTTGTTTCCCAGGTACATTATGTCTTTCCGTATGGTGAGGGAGGAATCCTAGCAGCATGCATGGGCTCAGAAGACTAGGCATGAAGATTTAGATATTTTACCTAGAGTTACACAAAGATGTAACATTACATGTAATGAATTGCCAAAATGAGTATGTTTGTTCCCAGCTCCATTCTTGGCAACCTGAGCTGCTTGGCCAGGGAACTCCTGGGTGCCTGCTGCTGGCTGAGAGTTGTTTCCGTTCACAGTGGAGTCACACTCACTGAAGCTCTTAACTTTCTGTCATCCCAGCAAATGGAAGTGTGCCTTCTGCATGGCTGGAAAATTCCCCAACATGATTTTAGCCATTTCAAATGAAACTGTCTGAGCAGCTTTCCGAGGGGAGGGTGAGCGTGAAAGGAGTCTGGAGACTGAGCAGTTCCTGTGAGTACTGTTGACTCAGACCACAGTCTCCTCAAGCGCAGTGTGAAGACGGGCTGCTCACATAGAAGCAGCTATGGCATACATAACCTTTATCAATCGGCAGGGAAGGCACACATGTCACGTCCTGGGGTTTAGGTCCTGACAGCATTAGGCTTATTTGAAGGTTTGGTACATTCATGGTCAGGGGAGGTATGCATATAAAAGTGGATAGAGATTCATTGAGAGGGAGGAATCCAGGAGAGGGGCTGTCTCTGTTGGGGTGGAAAATGCAGCCCCAAATTGAACAGGCACTGGGCTTATATAGGTTTTCTTAGGGGTGAGCTTTCCGGGGTGAAATGTTCAGGGTTGGGTAGGATCTCAATTCCTGAGTTTGGGACAAGCTCAGAGATTGGTTGGATTTTGTGCTCAGTGATGGGCTGCCTTTTGTGTTCAGGGATTCATTGGATTTCAAGTCCTGAGTTGGGTGGGGCAGGGTGTGTTTCCTTGGCTCTGGTCAGGGCCAAGGTGTTCTAGTGCTGCCCCTTCTCACTGTACATCACACACTGCAGTCCCGCTGCACCGCAAGTGAGGGCAGAAGGTTCTCTCAGCCCAAGAGCTCAGGACCAACCTGAGCAGCCTAGCAAAACTTACCCAGCTAAAAAGAAAAGGGGAAGGGGCTTGCTGATACTTCACCTGGGTGTCACAGCGCACATTTCCTCAACACAAGCACATGTAACCGTAACACCTGTGTCTTAGCACTTGGTGTCACCGCTCTGACTTTGCTGTCTGTGGCCTGAGTCAGCCTCCCTGGCTGTGTTCCCCAGTCTTGGATACAAGGGTGTACGTAGCATTTGTTGACCGTGTGACAATCAAGGTATTTTTGGTTGTCACGCTGTAGCCCTTGCAGTGTGCAGGACAGCTGTGAAGGAACTGGTCTGTGATGTTCTCTTCTGTATGACGTTGGCATGTCTTGAAGGGTCATAGTGTGTTTCCTAAAGTTGTGTCCTATAATCCAGACTATCTAATTGCTTATTATTTGGACAAGTGGCTCCCAAACTTGGATGTATATTAGAATTCTTGAGAGTTATTAACAGGCCACATGCTTGGTCCCATCGCACTACTACTGAAGTCAGTGTCAGGTCACAAGAAAAGGCAGGCTACTGATTAGAGTAATACTTTTGTTCAGAAGTCTGCTAAGAGGGGTTTGTATCATTCCTGCCTCCTCTCGTGGCACATTGTGGTGGCATGAAAGAAAATGGCCCCCACAGGGAGTGACACTAGTCACAGATGGCTCTGTGAGAGGAAGTGTCACTGTGGGAGCAGGCTTTGAGATCCTATCCATGCTTAAGACACACCTATTGAGACAGACCACTTGTTACCTGCAGGCTGTGGGACTCAACTACCCCAGCACCACGGCTGCCTGCACACTGCCATGTTGTACCACAGTGATAATGGACTAAACCTCTGAAAATGGAAGCCACCCCAATTCAGTGTTTTCTTTTATAAAAGTTGCTGTGGTCATGGTGTCTCTTCACAGCAATAGAAATCCTAACTAATATGCACATGATGCCAGCCTGCCCATCTGAGATGAAGCCATTCACCAGAATCACTGGGTCAAGATGGGCCTTTTAGGCTTTCCCATTGTAAAAGCCCTTCTCATGAGTTAATAAGTAGTCTATGCAGTATTTGCCATGGATATTGCCATTCAATTGTTTAGTTATGAAACGAACCTCATTTCCTTTTAATAAGCATATCATTTTTTTGTTGTTGTTGTTTTCTGTTTTACTCCGTTTTCACCGCTATGGTGAGCCCTTCACATCTGGGGCTCTGCGTTCTCAGATTTGCCAGCTGTTTGCTGGAAGAGGAGGACGTGTGTCAGTATTGATGTGCGGACCTCTCTCTTGTCATTGTTCCCGAAGCAATAGTTTTTTAAAGTATGTATTTTATGTTTATGAGTGTGCATGTGTGTGTGCCTCCTGCCCACACAGGTCCCAGATCCCTCCAGAACTGGATTTAGAGCCAGTTAGTTGTGAGTTGTCATTGGTTGCAGGAACCAAACTTGGGTCCTCTGGAAGAACAGAAAGTACTCTTAGGTACTGAGCCATCTCTCCAGTCCTCCTAAGCAATAGTTTAACAGCTTTCCATACAGCACGGATGCTGGGTTTAGTAAGAGGTAACTTGAAGTATACAAAAGTATCCTGTTCTGTGCAGATACTGCATCGCATCTGTAGTCCTAGGTATTATTATAGAGGGTGCTCAAACCAGTTTGTCCTGGTTCCTTGTCATACTCTGTACAGTTCTGCAGGTGCATGTATTTTGATGATATACCCACCTATTTGTTTCTTTACAATGAATTTTGAAAGGAAAACTTCCCGTCATAAAGGCTGCATACAGTTAAAAATGTGTACATTGTCCTATGCCCTTCTGCATCTTCTTCATTGATCCCACTCCACAAATTCAAGGGCTGGTGTGCAGGAGGCTCTGAGTACCATCCCTACCACCACACACACACACACACACACACACACACACACACACACACATATACTGCACCATCATTAGTGTCTTTTTCTTGCTTTTCTGTATTCTGTGTAATTTTAATTGCATACACACTCAGAGGTGAATAGTCCTTATGTTTGTATACACCTTGTCTCCTGGCCACCAGTGTGGGTGGCTGTTTTAGTCTTGTCTGGATTTGGTGGTTGCCATAGCAACCTTCCATATACCACAAGATTGATTATTCCAGTAGCAGACAGAGAAGTTAGCTTGGTGTCTGGGGTGCTGATGGATTGTCTGGGAGTCCTGGTCTCTCGAGACAGTAGGTTCTGTTCAGATGCTGTGTCCTTTCTTATGACAGACATGACCATCAGCAGTCACTGCTGCAGTGGAACTCAGTGGTGGGGATGGGGGGTTTTGTGGGGTTTTTTGTTTGCTTTTGTATTTAAGGCAGGGCTGGTGCAATACAGACAAGCTTCAAGCTCTTGGTGTAGCTAAAGATAATGTTCATCTCTTACCCCTGCCTCCTCCACACCTGGCTTGCTGTTGGTCTTAACAAGTTAGAGCAGATTGCTTGAGTTCACTACTGTTCTGTCAGTGTGGGAAGGCGATGCTGAACAGGTTAAACAGGACTGGAAAGTCACCCAGTGTTTTCCAGAGTGTGGGAGCAGGGCCCTCTTAGCCCCAAAATAATCACACAGAAACCATATTCATTAAAACACTGCTTGGTCCATTAGCTCTAACTTCTTATTGGCTGACTCTTACATCTTAGTTTAACCCATTTCTATTAATCTGTGTATCACCACGTGGCAGTGGCTTACCGGCTAAGTTTTGGCAGCATGTCTTACTCTGGCGTCAGATCCATGACATCTCCCTGACTCTGCCCTTCTTTTTCCCAGCATCCAGCTTCATCTTCCCCACCTGCCTAAGTTCTGCCCTATCAACAGGCCAAAGCAGTTTCTTTATTCATTAACCAAGAAAAGTAACATAGAGACAGAAGGACCTCCCACACCAACAGAGCACTGGGATTCTATTCCCCAACCCACATGGTGGCCCACAGCTGTCTGTAATTTCAATTCCAGAGTATCCAGTATCCTCTTCTGACTTGTACAGACACATGCACACATGCACAATGTTTTTTGGTTTGTTTGTTTACTTGTTTGTTATTTAAGTAAACTTCATCATGGTGGGTCTCCAGAGAGACCAGCATGAACTGTGAGCTAAAAGGAGGGAAAAGTTTTCCTCCATGAATAGGATAAAGTTCCTGTTTGAGTATAACACCATCCCTAACGTTCCCACAGGGACATTCAGCCTTAACCCTAGCGATGCAGTGACCCCACAGTCTGCACTCCCACCCTTTCACCCCACCGTGCTACAGGGAAACTAACTGCTCTGCCTAATGTCAGATGGAGCCTCAGGCAGCGTCTGGTAAGGTGGATGAACCTGGTACATTTTTGTGTCCGCAGAGTGATGAGAAAGGACCAACAGGTGCTGTTTATTTTATGCCCTTGGTCTGACCACATCCTCATTTTGCTTGATTGTTAAGTCTGTAGTTTTCTCTGGCAAAGTTTTATTTTAGTGTTATTAATCTTTATTTAGTGTGTGCACAGGTAGGGATCGGGACTTCTTTAAGGAGTTAGTTCTTGGCTAGCATGTGGACTCCAGGAATTGAACTCAGGTTACCAGGTGCAGTGGTGCACTGCCTCCCCCGCGGAGCACCCCTCCCCCTACAGCTTTTCCGTCCTGGTCTGCTCTCTTGCCTTTACTTCAGCCCATGCAGAACAGGCTCAGAACATAAATGTCAGCCAGGCGTGGTGACACACAGCTGTAACTCCAGCATTTTGGGAGACTGAGGCAAGAGGTTCATTGTGAGTTCTTGGCTGCATAATGAATTTGAGGCCAGCTTTGGGCTACTTAGTAAGACCTTGTCTCTAAAGTAAAGTGGGGCTGGCGACTTGGCCCATACTTCCACGTGATGAAGAGAGAGAACTGGTTCCCACAGGTTGTCCTCTGACCTCTATATGTATATTGTAGTACACACACACACACAAATGTGTGTGTGTGTATGTGTATGTGTAAAATAAGAAAGACTAAGCCTCCCTGGCCTGCAGCACAAATTCTGGACCAACTAGGGTTACACAGTGAGATTCTGTCCCATAAAAATAAATAAATGATGAATATTTAAAAATTGGGCCAAGCATCATTGTATCATGGTGCTGTCTTTAATGCCAGCACTCAGTAGAAGGCAGAGGGGCCAGCCTGAAGTAGAAGGCTACCGAGTTCCAGGTCAGGAAGCGCTACATAGTGGCTGGGTGGTGATGGTGCATGCCTTTAATCCCAACACTCAGGAGTTAGATCTTTTGTGAGTTCAAGGCTAGCCTGGACTACAGAGCTACACAGAGAGATCCTTTCCCGGGGATGGGGGCGGGGTGGGATCAGGAGGACTACATAGTGAAACCCTGTCTCAAAATACATTTTTAAGAAATGCAAATTTTTGTTGCCATTATCTTAAACTCAACATTAGGAAGTTGATTATGTTGCCATAAAAATAGACTCTCTGGCTCTGGGGTGGCCTTCTGTCTGTGCTCTGTGTCCATGGACTATGCTCTGATTGCCACCCCAGGCATCTAGCAACATACTGAGCCATGTCCCTGTGAAGCCATTGGTAGCACAGCTCTGCTGGCTCTTCACGCCCCTCCCTCTCTCACAGGTACACAATAAAAGGCATCAGGAACCTCATATTCTACGAACTGCCAACATACCCTCACTTCTACAGTGAAGTCTGTAATATGCTGAAAGCCACCAGTAGAGGAGAGGAGGCCACGTGGACCTGCACCGTGCTCTATTCCAAGTATGATGCCCAAAGGTTGGCTGCCGTGGTTGGTGTTGAGCGGGCGGCACAGATGCTGCGGTCTCCAAAGAACGTTCACCTGTTTATCACCGGAGAAAAGTGAGTGTGGAGCAGGAAGTCTGCATCAGTGGACCGGATAGACCTGATGTCATCACCTCCCAGGAGCACGCTCCAGACAGACTGCAGGCCTGTGGCCCTGAGAGGCGCATTATATGTGGGTGACCCCAGCTGGCAGAGCCAAGAGCAGTTTGCAAGTTTGTCACATTCAGAAGCAACGTTGTGCTTATCAAATGTGTAAGCTGTACGTTCTCCAATTACTTGGTGCATGGGAAGAGTCTGACTCGCCTGTCCGTTTCTTAAAGCACTGGTGGTGGCATTTGTGAGACTGGCTGGGAGCTGGAGACGGCTTGCTGGGTCGTCTCAGTCCTGGCACGTGGCACATGGCTTGTGGAACTCTGCCTTTGCAGCCAAACTCAAATACAATTATAAACACTTTAACCTAGAAGAGTACATTCTTTCACTGGTCTTTTCAGTTCCTCACCGTGTTTCAATGGCTAACACGTTTACAGTCAGGGTATGTAAAGCAATGTTTATTTCTGCAGTTAAAGAAACGCTGTTTAGGACCCATGGCTGATGCCTGTCCTCAGCACCGCTGTCTCCTGTGCTTTACCTGGGTTTGGAGTCTTGTAGCAGGTGAAGTAAAAAGGAAATTGTAGTTTGAGACATTACAGACATTATTTTAAGCTTGTGAAAACAAACACGACAGCAAACAATGGGCCATCACAGGTGACTGTTGCTTCAGGTGACAGGGAAGTGCAAGTCTGAGGCTGTGTTGTTGAGGAGCCAACTGCCAAACTCACAGGTGTGTGTTCATGGGAGCGAGAGTCTTGTTCTTTGAGACCTCAACATGTCCTCGAGTGAGCGAGCTATCATCACTGCCTCCATCCAGATTCTTGACCCCATTAGAACCTTACCCATGTACCCGGCTGTTCTAGACACTGAGGACACGGGCAGGACTGCAGGCTCCCATCGAACCTGCTGTGTCCTGAACTCTGAAGCACAGCTGAGTTTCTTAGGGGCTGAGTCGACCTTGGTGCTCTGAGTTCTGCCAGGAACTCTGTCAGCTGTTTCTTAGGTTTTGTTAAGTGGTGCCCGTGACAGGGGCGTCGCTAAGGTGGTGCTGCAGCCTCACTGAGCCCATCACTGCTGACCCCTGGTCTAAGACAGGGTTTGGCAAACTTCACTGTAAAGAGTAGGGGTTTTTTTTGTTTTGTTTTATAAGTAGAGTGTCCACCCCAGTCTTGCATGGGATCATGACATCTCCCTGCCCTTTGGAGTGCTGGGATCACAGGCTTGAGCCACCATGCCTGGCCTCGTTTTATTTTTAATTTATAGATATGTGCTTCATTTTTCATCTTGCCATCATTATTTTTACAGGAACTACCCTGGTCTCAGCTGTGACCAGTAGGATCACCTTCAAGCTGGATCCTGTGTCCTTCTTACTTGACCCCTTCTCCTTAGGGATTGGGGTTTGTTGTTTTAAGCCCCATCTGTGGTGAGGACAGGAATGTGTGTCGGGGTCTTGTGTCTGCCTCCTCCAGATTGCTCAGGAAGGCCTTGACCTTGAAGCCTCCCCAGTACCACTAACACGTTTGGCTGCTGGTTGTCGTCAGTGTTGTTGGTTGAGTTTTGTCTTGTGTTTGTAATTGATTGTCTATTGATCGGTTGATTTGCAGTACGTGGGACTCAAACCCAGACCCTGGATTGTGCTCCCCAGCCCTTGATTTTTTTTGAGACAGGATCTTGCCATGAAACCTAGGCGGCCTTGGCCCGGACAGGTAGCCCAAGCTAGCCTCATCTTAACCCTCCTGCCAGCCCCAGGCGCTGCCGTCAGAGCCTGGTGCCGTTTCCTGAATGTGAGCCCATAGACTAGTGCACTGACGTTTACTTCTTACCCGTCCCAGAAACCGTAAGTTCACACTGGTGTTTCTGTTTCCAGTGTTGTGCTGCAGGGTCCTGCTGATGCCAAGGGCACCCCACCACACGCACATGCAAATGCACACATAGATTTCTTTTTAAGTCTTTATTTTTTTTACAGTGATATAATTTGGGGCAGCTTTTATGCTAAATAGACATTTTGACTTCTCGGCATGATAAGCAAAACCAGTTACTCCAGACCGAGTTCTGAATTTTAGGACATGTAGATGATAGATAAAAGCCAACCACAGCCAAGCAAGCATGAACTTCCCGAGTGCACAGCTCTGCCTGTGGTTATTGGCATCTGTGTGCCACCGTTTGCTGCATTCACCATTTATTATGAAAAAAGGACCGTGATTCCTCAGACTTCTTGTGAACTGCAGCTCCCAGGATGGATTGTTGTGACTGTCTGGGAAGGAATGGACTGCAGAGAGCTGGTGTGAGTCCATGGAAGAGGTGACGTCACAGCGAGAGAGGCCTGGCCTCAGGCAGGCCACTTAGAACCCGTGTCAGTCTTTCCTCGCTTGCTCTGTTGTGCTTCTGAGACGTGCTCTTGTCCATGATACCCCAAATTTGTGATCCTCCTGCCTCAGCCTCCTGACAGAGACGTTTCCCCTCTGCCAACGTCTGTCTTGGTAGTTCTTAGCTTATTTGCTGACCACAGAGTCTGAGTGATCCCAGACCCAGGAAGGCCGGGACTGATCTAGGAAGCGAGACTTTCAGACTCCACACAGCAGTCACAGCTACTTTGTCAGTTTTCTTTTTGAGGAAAAAGGCTTTGAATCATGACTGCTGCTCACAGCTGTGCAGCGTTCAAAACAAGAACCAGCTAATCACAGAGCGCCGCAGCAGAGACTCGGCTCTCTGCTGGCTTCCAAAGGGCCTGTGATTGAGTGCAGATGGCCTGGATAAGATGGGGGGTACGTGTCCCTGGTGACTCATACATGCTTCAGAGGACCAAAGGGGTTCCAGAAGCTTTGATCCCTGATTATGCCCCTCTGGGGATAAAGAGACAGGCTGCTGAGGGTGAAGGAGAGGCAGGGGTGCCCATGCTTGCTGACTGCCTTCTGCTGGCCCTTCCTGGGCTCTATCTTCAGCCTAGGGTCTCAAGATGGCAAAGGGTCTGGGGAAGAAAGCAGGACGGGGATGTTCTTTACAGCTATCTGTGGAGCTTGGATGTGTGGGCTGTATGTGACCGTGAGGTGCTGGAAGCTTCCAGAAGGAATGCTTTGGAAGTCAAACTTCAGGGTGCATCCTCCAGGGTCTGAGGCCTCTAGCCTTCCTGCCCACCCTCCCTGACCCCTTTCCTAGATCCCTGTGATTTGTGTTTGTTTAGTCTTAAGTGCCCCTATGCCTCTGGCCACGCTGCTGCCATTCCTATGGGACTTGGGATCCTGTAAGAGGACAGAGCTCATTCTCAGCAGTCAGGACTAGAATATACTATACTGAGCAGTTAGGAATAGGCTTTGAATGCCACAAATAATGCTTTGTTCTATAGAGATCTGAGCCTGTGCTGTCCCCACTGCTGGGGGAAGCATCCTGCTAGCCTGCTCTCCCAAAGACCAACAAGTTGGGTGCTTTGACCAAGCCATTGTGGTTCAGTCTTGGGCCTCTGCATTTGGCTGTGACCATTTGGGCCCCATGGCCTCGACTGACATGTGGCAGGAAGGCTGTTCTCCAGCTGCCCGTCTGCTTTCCTGGCTGAGCAAGACCAACCAGAGAACCACAGGGGCTCCCAACATCCTGACATCTTCATCCTCACTGAACTCTGTAATGCAGGGTGAGATTTCCTGGGCTCCACAGACTCTCATAGGTCAGGCATCTTGGTCTTTGTTCAAGGTCAGTCTGTTGTCTGAGTCTCCTCGTGTTGGGATTGCATAGCACCTGACACTGCAAGTCCTCACACTTCTGGGGTTTGGATTGGGTTGATTTTTGTTTTTTCTCTGGTGCTGGGATCAAACCCAAGGTCTTGGAGTGCAATGTAAGCCCCCTTCCCTGAGCTGCAGCCCCAACCCTACTTAGCATCACAGAGAAGGGAGTGATCACCCATCCTCAGAGAGGAGCAGGGAGTCCATCAGAACCCAGTTTAATGGGTGGCATAGTATCCAGTGGAAACCTACATTTCCTACCACCCTTCTGGTAGTTAGATATGGCCAGGGAGACAAAAAGGTGTTGCCCACTGGGAGAGTGCCTCGCGATGGAGGGACACCCAGCCTCTGTTCTTCGTTGCCTACCAGGACTAAATAAAGGCTGAAATCCTGCAGGTCAGGTGCTCTGCATAGAGGGTATGGCAGAGGGCAGCTGCAGCGCAGTCCTGCACAGCTCCTTCACTCCAGACACCCCCAGTGCACACTGACCTGTAAGGATGGGGGAAGGGTGGCAGACGTCATCCCGTGGGGATTATAGAAAACAGTTTTCTTGTGTATTTAAAAGAAAATGTAGTCAACAAATTAGAATCCATAAGTCAGTAAGAGCTACTGCAGGGCCACATGTCTGTTGTCAGTGAGCAGTGGTTTAAGGACCTCAGATGCCTTCAGAATGGTGTGCTCTGTCTCCCTGGCTTTTCTAGTCAGCAGTACCGCTCTGAGCTGCTCTGAGCCTCCCTAGTCCTTGTCCTGTTTCTGAAGCTGTACTCAGATCTGTCTGGTCCTCCCACTAGCCCTCCGTCTAAAAATAGCTACCCTGTCCGTGAGCCTAGTTTCCTCCAAGGCAGTTATTCCGACCTTCTTCAAGACTTTTCCCGAAAAATATGTGCTGCTCTTCTTTTTAAAGAGTAATCCATGCTCAGTAAAAACAAAACACGAAAGGGAAGCAAATGAGATCTTGCTCAAAACAACAACAGAAATAAATAAAGCAAACCAAAAGTAGTGCAAAACAGAACTGAAACATCTGCTTGGCATTGGTTGGTGTGTGTGTGTGTGTGCGTTTGTGTGTGTGTGTGTGTGTGTGTGTGTGTGTGTGTGTGTGTGTTTTGAGACAGGGTCTTATATGGCCCAGGCTGGCCTTGAACTCAGGACTCTCCCTAGTTCTGAGTGCTAGGATGACAGCTGGGTGCCACCACATCTTACTTCTATGTGAAAGATTTTGGGAGCTTGTGTCACTGCAGTGTCGGGCGAGGAGGCTGAAGTTGTGGCTCATTACCAACACCAGGTGGCAGTGGGACCAAGTGCCATCTGGAGCCCAGAGCCTCAGGCCTGCCCCGCCCCCACCCCTTCTTCCCTCCCTTCCACTAGCTCATGGCTGTGGTGTTTATCTGAGTTGTTCTATTACCAGTAAAGACTCAGGAATCAGATATTGGGGTATAAACCTGATAGACCAAAGAAGAGGAGGAGTGTCCAACAGACCCAGCAAGTGCCTCTCTCCACAGTGCCAGTTTGAAGTCTCCCTACTTTTTCCTTTGTCTTCTCAATCCATATTCCTGGCTTCTCTATGGCTAACCCTGGCTGGCTTCACCCCTTGATTCAAGGTTAACTTTATTAACAGTCTCGGGATGTCATAGTGCAGTCAGATATCCTGCAGCCTGTGAGT